TTAAACGAATTAGTATGTTATGGCTTTGTAATTGTGTTACACCGGGCCGGCGGTGTGCGCGGCCGCTTGTAAATTCGATAAAAGAAAGTGTTTGTGAAGTCGCTCGCGCAGCGGATTCTCGCTGTTCAAAGCGCGCGCGCATGTATGTACACGTGTGTTTGAAATTCGCGCGACCACTTCGTTGCGGCCGCGTATATAAATTAATTATTTCATTAACCTCGTTCAACTTCCATTTCAATTTGCCCGGTTGCCGGGGCCATGAGATTTTTCAATCCAACGTCAAGTCGCGTTACATCTACAGAAATATTGTCTAATCAACTGTGCACACGTAATCTCGTGAAAGTATTCCTACCATTGCATTCGCAACATTTAATATGCGAATTATGAACGATATAATCAAGTATTTAAAGTAATACAGCATCCGTAGCGAACAGCTGGTCTCAAGATCGTAACAATTAAACCAGGAAGAAGTACAACAGCAGATAATACTTTTAAAGCGTTATTAAATGCGGATCTTTTAGCGGAATTTTCTGCCTCGATTATAGGGTACAGGAGTTGATTAAAAACTTCCTTCTTTCTTTAATCATTTTAATCATTTTAGATCTCATATCCTACACTCATAATTACACAAAATGGGCAGTTCACATAAGCTACTTTTTAATAAAACTTTATATAATTCTTTGATCACAAAAGTATCAAAATTACATTATAATTTTACCGAGATGATCCTGAAGCTTTTAAATAATTCGCTTTCATTACTGCTGCACATTTGTTCACACTTATCTGCTTCGTACTTCGACAAGGAAATTCGCATGCATTGAACTAATTTTTGAAAATTCTGGACGACATTCGTGAGAGGTAATGAAAATTAATTGCGACCAGTATACTGGGCTAACGCTATCGAGTTGGGAAAGTACTGTCGATCTGTGAATCTCGAGGAGGGAACTCTTAACGAGAGTTTGAGAAATGTTACGTACGCCGAGGTCAGTCGAGGGTGAACCGTTTCATCTTAAGCAGATGTCGATGTGTGATGCGAAGTTGTTACGCTAATCCTTCGTTACTGGAAAGTTACTGTGACTAATCGGGGAACGGAACTTCCATCATGAGAAGAACCAGTGCCATATGCTTCGTAGATTTAATCGATAGAACTGATAAGAGATACGATTCCGCTGAATCGCATTTAAAATAAGTTCCTCGCATTTTTAACGTGACGTTTCAAGTTGAAAACCTTGTTACAAAAAGTATAGTGTGCAAAATCTAATAAATAAATTTTTCTCCAGTAAATAGACTGCAGGTTATGTAATAAGTGAATTTTGAAATATTGTCAGGAATTTGTTAATCTACTAAACCCATCAAGCGAGGAATAGAATCATTATGGGCAAGCCAATAAGTCACCAGTTTTGTTATAAATACGTGTACAACAATATAATCTCTTTTAAGAACAAAGAAAATTAACTATGCAATGAAAATTCATTATTCGGAGGCTTTTTTCAGATCCGAATCAATATTTACTTATATAAAATATTCGCCGTCAAGTGCAATTTAATATGCACTGGCTATTTTAGAAGATAACACTGAAAAATCGTCTGCACCAAACGGCCTTTAATATACAGGGTGGACCACCCGAAGGCAGTTGCTCAAAAGTGTCCTACAGTTGTGGTAACATAACAAATGTTTTGCACGAAAGTTATTGAAAATCAATTCCACGTTAACAAAAACATATGTGAACTCAATGTAGCTAAATTTGTGTGTAAAAATTAATAGTCCGAAGTCTATTCGAACTATCTACTATCTACTCTATTCTACTATTCGAACAAGAGAGCCGATCTCCCACACGATGCAGCATGATGAAATCTCATTAAGAAATGATCTTACCACAAAGATCTCGTTAACAATAAGACGCCGTTCAAATTACACGCAATATCCACTCATCTATCGAGACATTTCGGTGGCTATCTTGGGCCGACCCACCCAGTATATCCCGCAAACTGCGTTCGAACATAGTTACAAAGATCGCGCGTACCATTAAATCACATTTTATCGGAGCCGGCTACAAACATTTTTCACCGTGCATAAACCATTGTTCATCGGAGCGTTCAGAAAGTCGTATAAATGAATTTCAATCGCAGACAGCGGCATCGGCGTCGCCGGTCACCTAGCAACCGAACGTTGTCGAAAAAAAACCCCGCGTACCCCAGTTCGCGCCCGATGAAAATATAAAACCGCGATGATTCGCGGAGAGAGCCGTTCGTTCACAAAAGCCGAGACGAAGAAGTGCTTAATGTATTCCGTGTTTCGCATTAAGTAGTCAAACGAACACCAATGCACGCAGCGCCGCGAACGGTGACATCTTCGAGCCTCCGCCCCGGCACCGCGCAAACGAGGTGCCGGCAGGGCCCGATAATTGAAGCACAAAGATTCCCCCGACACCTTGCTCCTCCTTTAATCAGAGGGAGCCTCAAAAGAATCTGCCGTTCTCGAGAGTAAGAGCGTTAAACTCGAAAAAACCGATTCTTATTCCCGAACGGTGGTTAGGGGCTGATCGTGAGAGCCCACCCCAACACCGGGGGTGGCAGGTTTCACGGCAGAGGCGCAAAACCGTTCTCCGATTTACCTTTGAAGCCAGCTGATCGGCCGGGCGAGGAGGATCGCGCCAGCTCGCGCAGAATTCGGCGCGGCTGACGAGTGACCACTCGTAGAATCACTACGAGTGTCTACTTGAACCAAAGGGAAACACTCTTTCCGCGTGGTTTGGTTGTTTTGCCGGGTGATCGGTGCGGCTCGGTGGTTGGGAGGTCCAGGAGGACCGGGAGCGAACTGGAAAAAAGTGAGAGAGAGAGAGAGAGAGAGAGAGAGAGAGAGAGAGAGAGCGAGAAAGGAAGAGAGAGAAGAGACCGCGGAGCAAGGGAGAAAACGGGGGAGAACAGGGTGGAAAACAATTAAGGGAAGACGAGGAGAGGTCCGCCTTGTATGATAATGCGGTGTAACCTCCGGCAGAGGAGAACGATACGATGAAGGAGGAGGTGGAGACGACGATCTAGGAGGTGGAGGAGACGGCTGCCGGAGGATGAGGCCGGATGAAGCGCGGAATGGAGGGGCAGCCGCGAGAACGGGGTTGGCGGAGGTCGTGGTTCTTACTTTGCATTCCTTTGTGTGTCCTCCTGAGCCCTCCATCTACCTACCCTCCTACAACCCAGTCGTCCTCCTTCCTCTTGAAGCTTGAACTAACGCCCGTGGTTTTAATGCACTTGTCTACTCCACATACCGTTCATAAAGACATATATGCTGTCTGTTGAACGAGTGGGCAGGAGGACTGATTCTTGGAAAGAGAAGCGAGACAGAGAGACGACGCGCGAGGGAACGGGCCGACGGGGGAGGGGGGCGGGGTGACGTGGGAGAAGGTTCGCGGGAGGAGATCGGGGCGGGAGAGGAGGGCGAGAGGTTTGCCAGAGAAAAAGGGAGAAAAAGGGAGACGGACCACGCGACTCGCTCGAAGAAGAGAGAGACGGTGCCCCGCAAAGAAGAGCCACGAGCCAGAGAAGGGGAGAGCGTAACGATATGAAATGCATTTTAAATTCTAAGCATTCGCTCGCGTCATGGAAAGACCTCGGCTCTTTGCTCGCATAATCCTGCCGGTGATGTACAAAAGTCAAAAAAGAACGGCGGAGAGCCGGGGAAGAATTAAAGTGCACTGGTCGAATCAGACCTTTGCTGGGGACCGAGCGGCCGGGGAGCAAGGAACTCTTCGTCCGGTCTTTAATCAACTCTACGGATGATCCATGCAAGACGATCGTCTGACGCGTTCGATTCTACGGGGAAGAAACTCTTGCTTTTTACCAGATCGGAATTTTCGAACCACGGCGTCGAAGGCTTATTTATTTAATGATTACTTCGGTCCAAATTTCCATGCGTAGATTGCATTCTTGAATCGCGAAATATTGCTCTTAGAGAATTACATCATCGCGCCTTTATACAAAACAACAATTTTCTTTGCCGGTTACAGGACACAATAATTCAATCATAGTCCTGGATTCTTGTCACGTTTGTAGAGTTTGCATTTAGCATGTTCAGAATTTTTAATGAATGCATAAAATCCATATATAGATCGTACATGAAACGCTAAATTTTAAAATTGACTCTTAATAGAAATTTAAATTACAATAGATTTCTGATAGTTTAAACTGTAATCCGATAGCGGACGATCAGAAAAATCTGCACTGATCTTCAGTCATTTAATTAATTAGATTATCTTTTTGCAATTTAAATACTTGAGCTTGATGTTGCCAATGTGATCGGGTTTGTTCCCGAAACAACGAAGGATTAAAAAGTTATTACGGGGATGAAAATCCATAATTGTATTAAAAACTTTCGAGGCAACGCAATATAAATATTCACGCTGAAATAATGGTATTATAGAACCTTGGTTATCCGAACTAATTTAAGGAATCACGAGTATTGAGATTGTAGAGCAGTCACTTCGTTGGAAAGCTACATTAAATCTTTACCGATCTGTACAATAAATAATGTTGAGTGTAGATCGTGTAAAGCACGTGTATGAGAAAGAATCAGAACGTTCGGATAAACGAGGTACAACTGTATTACGTTCGTTAAACATTTTTCTGGCATTTCGAAAGAAGGCCGAAGATAAGTTTCACCTTACACAGAGTTGCAGTTTGTAAAACTGTGCATTGCCAATTTCGTGCAACAACTTAGACTAACGATAAAAGTGAAACACACCGTGATATTGTTCAAAGGCTTACGTTAATTAACGCGCATACGCGCCTATCAATTTCATGTAATTAATTTTAATACGGTTAGCAATCTCACAACACTATGATTGCACCGTGAAAACATTGTTGAGAAGTAAATATTTCTATCAAAAGCCTAAATTGAAACTTCGTTTCTTGTGGTCAATAACGCGTAAAACTATCAATGATCAAGGTGCGTATTCACGGAACAGCTTCTAATCGATTCTACCATACAATTGATCTTCAACTTACCTTTTTTGTCCTTTTATTTGCGCACCGACCGACTGTCAGCTATGGCGTCATTCGTTAATCTACAAAATAGAGGAAACCGTTTAGAAAAAACACGCCTAGTCTTTCCGGCATAGTTTCGCAACAGCATGCTCTATATTCGCGTCGCGATTCAAAATCTGCGGGAACGTCGGGCTGACGAGCCGTCGAGAGACAAAGTCAAGAGCGTTCGCAACGGGACTCATAATAATACCGATTTTATCGCCGATGCATAAATCAAATTTCGCCGGTCGTTTACGGTGATTTTAATCAATTTCAAGTAATTTCTATTAAATCGCGCCACCTTCGTCACTGGTCATTGTGCGATCCGTATATACATATAAGCGCGTGTACATATATGTACCGTGTAGCCTTCGCTGGAATCCGCAAATATTTGCACAACATTATAACAAACGGCCGAGCGACCGGGCTGATTGTTCGGCGCACAAAGACTCGATAAAATCAGCCGATTGCCGAGCCTCGATTAACCAATAAAACCCGCTGTTTTTCGTCGCTGTCGCGACACTTGAACCGGCGGGGGAAGAAGCTGAACGCGAGATCCGCGAGAAAGAACGAGAAAAAGAGAAAGAGGAGCAGTGAGAGAGAGAGAGAGTAGTTTTTTTCCTCTCGTTTCTTTTAAAGAGACCGTCTCACGTGCGTCGGCGACACAATGGGAGAGTAAGGTGGGGTCGGACCGTGGATGTACGAGCCTGGTACACGTCGATTCAGAGAAGAGAGGAACAGAGAGAAATCCTTTTCATTCGAGGAAAAGAAAGCGGGCGCGAGATTCGCGCTTCATTCATGGCCAAGTCTATGGAGCGAAAAGAGAGACTTATCCTTCGAAAAATGTAATTAGCATGTCTTCGCACAACGGGCCAGACAATGATGTCCTTTAATTAGTATGCGTCTCCGTGGTACGGCAGCGGCGGCGGTTGCCTTTCTTTCCGCCACTACCCCCGAGAGAGCGCGTGATCCTCGTGTCTCTTAGCCTCCCCGCGTGTAGACAACAAACACACCCACGCACTAGTGCCGACACACCCCGATAGCGAAATCTACCAACGAACCGTGCACATGTGTGTGTTGACGTATCGCACGTTACCGCACACCGCACGAGTGTCAATACGTGCGTATCCACGGACGGAGCGGCGCGCCGTGCGAGCGGCCGCGTCGCACTTATCCGCGATACGGAAACGCTCCTTCCTGCCTTGTCGGCGCGACTTCAAAGCGATCGCTTTTTAATAAATAGGCTGACGAGGAACTCTGTTAATAGGTCGCCAGTTGGTTCGCATTCCCTTCGCTGGCTCGCGTTGCGGAAGTCAGTATTGTAGGCGGTTAGCTGTGGTTTAACCCCTTGCCGTACCATTTTCTTCACGAATTTTTCGACTCTGATCATTCCTTAGAATGCAAAGAAGATTTATAATTATGTATCGTTTGCCTAGATTCACTTTCAGTGCTTAAGTATTGACAAGAACACGGCAGGCTATTAACACGTTCCGTGCCACGTGTACCATCGATGGTACACGCTTGCATGTTTACTTAGTGAACTGAACAAATTGTTTACAAGAAATGTCGAACCGAAGAATCAATTTCCACCGCAAGAATGGGCGTTGATAAGTTTTTGTTACGTTGTTATGTGTACGAGAATTAATAATTGCACGTAATACATCAAGTTTTAGTAAAATATCAAAGT